ACTTGGAATGCAGACAATACTTCACTGGTTAAAGATAAGGGTGATTATTCTATTACAAAATTCTAATACCCACAATGGAATTTTCAATGTATGATCATATATGTAGCCTTGTGTATTAGAATTTTTTAATCACTTCCATGCTCCTTATTTCTACATTTCTAGTTTTTACCAAGTATATTCATCATATCAGAACATGTTTTCTATTTCCAGTTGCCACTGCTTTCTTCTTCATTGAGATCAAAAGCGGAACCTTCCAGAAAATGTTCACCGGACTAGTTGAAGAACTTTGGATCAAATGGGAGCTCCCAGGAATGGTTGTACTTAGCCTGCTTCTTCAGTTTTTACTAGTTGGGTTTGGCAATCGTCAGAGATACCAAGGCAGATGGTCTCCTTACGTTGCCATGCTTGTCTGGTCCACTTACTCTTTAGCAGATTGGGTAGCCACTGTTGCCTTAAGCGCCCTCCTCAAGGCCAAAAAGCATGATCTCAACAGCGAACTAGTTGTGTTTTTGGCACCATTCCTACTCTTGCACCTCGGTGGCCCTCACACTATCAGTGCCTACTCCTTAGCAAACAATGGGATTTGGTTCCGGTACTTGTTCGGCCTTGTCATCCCTGTCGGGGTAGCTGTTTATGTATACATTAAGTTTCGGACCAATTCTAGCGCTTACATACATAGCCATCCCAATATTCGTGACCAGGTTTACCAAGTATGCAGAAAGGGTTTGGATTCTCAGGGCTGCAAGCTACAAGCAGTTTAGCAATTCTGTTTTCTCATCCCCTAGAGGCGCCACAACAAAATCTAATGGTTTGACAAGCAGTCATCTTCCACAGACATTGGACGACCATTTTTTTTTTTTTTTTGAACAGAAAAAGTAATATTTATTGAAAAAAGAAGTACAAGGGGTACCTCAAACCTTTAAACATCCCAGCTCAAAAGGCATAGACATTGGACGACCATTTAAAGCACAAAAAAAGTCTTAGAAGGCGGTGAATCTGTCCATAAAGCTTTTTTCCTGTTTAAGATGTTCGTACCTCTTTTTTCATTGTTGGATTTTTGGTGGTGAAAACGGGGAATTGAGAGGGGACTTGGAGGAGAAGGAGAGACACCCAGAGACATAGCCACAAACATAGAACAGAACCATAAACATGGAAGGGTGTAGGCATTCACCCAACCGGAGAGGAGAAACATGCTTTCTCTTTCTCTCTCGATTTTCCCTCAATTTCTTCCTTCCTTTTTATAGAGGAAGGCTACACATAAAACAATAATATTTTTCTACCTAAACTATAATTATTAATTACCTAAAACATTGACTAAAATGATGAAGTGTTCTGCCATTTCTTGTAGCCCATGTGAAGCTGCATGCTGTTGTCATTTGTTGCTACTGTGCAGTCATATTGCGGCATCATTTAGCAGATTTCATTTCACTGCATTTTCTCATGCCATAGCTCCAACAAACTCCTCCTTGGCATTAAAGCTGCAAAAACAAAATTTTACTTTAGCACATTGAATTTGCCATTTTCAATTCTGTCTTTGGTTTGGTTTGTTGTTTGTTGCCGAGTACCATCTTCTCAAATATTTCAGCTCCTCCTGCAAATCAGCTTCATCTTTGTTAGATTTTTGCTGTTTGAAAAAATTCAGGAGCCTTAAACATTTTTTACAACTCCACCATTGCAGCAGCTTTGTCTGTGGATCTTTGCTGCTTCAGTGCACTCTGGAGTTGTGATTTTTGCTCCTCTGCCAAACTTCTTTGCCATAAAGGGATGGAGTTCACAAATACATAAACATGAGGAGTTTTTTTTTTTATGAAAAAAACTCATAACATTCAAAAATACAAACATAAAAGATGGTAGAAGAACACATAATGAAACTGAGATGTTGTGCTCAGTTTTCCTTTGCCATCATCTCCATCAAACATTCTTTGCCATGAAACCATGGGAGTTTAGAGAATCAAAGCCACATCCATGAAGAGTTTTCTTGGGAAAACTTAAAACATAACTGTTGCGGCATGTGAGTTCTTCAAGGTGGTTGAAAAAGCAAATTTCAACCTTTGAAATTTGGTTGCATGGGAAATTGCATGGCAGCCCAACTTTGTTGAAAAATTGGAAGTCTCATGGCAGCCTTTGAATGGAAATTTGGTTGCTACAACTTTGTCCATGCAATATTTATTGTGCATGGTTGGATGATGACTTTGGAGCCCATTGCATTCATTGTGGGTGGTTGGCATTTGGCTATAAAAGGCCATTTGGCCATTCGGCAAAGACACCAAGAAGAGCAATCCAAAGCAAAGTGAGCTCTAGAAAATACAAGAGTTTGTGAGTGCTTTGGGTGAGGGTGAGCAAGAGTAGAGTGGTAAAAATTACTTTGCTGAGTGTTTTTTGAGTGTGTCTTGCATTCAAAAATATTGTGAGTAAGATTTTGGTGTAATTGGGGATTTGGTATTTTTCTGAGAGTACCACAAATTGTATCTCCCTATTTTAATAGTGAATTTTTCCTTATGAGTGCCCGTGGACGTAGGCTCAATTAAAATTGGAGCTGAACCACGTAAATTCTGTCTTTCTTGTGGTGGTGCATTTTTTTTATTCCATTAATTTCTTAATCTTGTAGTGGGTTAACCAAAATCTCAAGCAATTTGTTTCAACAATAACCATAGCCAACATAAAAGATTGGTGAAGAACATACCATGAAATTGAGTTTTTTGTGCTTAGTTTCCCATTTCATCAACCATGATTTGCCTTTTGGACTGATTTTTGAAACAAACATGAACACCTTCTCTTTGAATCCAGCTTTCCTCTCCTTGACATC